CAGCTAAAATGAAATCATAATGCCAGACCACAGTGGCATAACCAGAGAGGAACAACAAAGGTGCATGAAACAAAGTTAAAACAAAAGAGCAAAGCTGAAATAAAATGGTCAAATCCACAGCAAAATGGTCAACATGTGTTTTGAGTCAAGCAAAAAATGTTTTGCTGAAAGATTTGCCAAAATCAATACCATTCTATGAAAAAAAATCAGCTTTAATATATCAGTGTTTCTCAGCAAAAAGCAGATTTATGTTTCAAACACTCAACCACCTCTGTGTATGAAGTTCATCAAGTTCGGTTTTGCTGTGGGAATGTAAGACAAAATCTGCGTACATTTTGATCAGTACACTTCTGGAGTGCAATTTATTCTATAGATGTTGTAGTATAAAATGCCCCATTCAAAGTCAGCTGAAGTCTGTGGCAAGTTTCCTACAAACTGCATTGGATTAGATATGGTGAGACTAGAGGGGTGAGGGATGGAATTAAATACCCTATAGCTTTATGCAAGAACTATTAAATAGGGACCCATTAAAAATGAAACCTTTTTTGCCGATACAATGTTTTATTCTCTTGCAAATAAAAATAACTCTTCAGCAACAGTCGTTCTCCTTTTTTCTTTTGTTTGTAAATATGTTGATATTCTATGAGTTCCATATATTAACACTTGAAAAACTTTTTCTCTGATGATGGCCTCCAAGAATCCTCAAGTGCTTAATCATGTGTCTAACCTGAAACTTTTTCAAGCCCTATCAGATTAGGGATCTCTCAGAAATAAAAAAAAAAACAACCAGCCCCACATAAAACAAACAAAACAAAACAAAAAAAAAACAAAACAAAAACCAAACCAGACCAAACAAACAAACAAAAGGGACAAAAAAAAAACCCACCCCCACCATCCCCACCACCCCAAAAAAAAAGCCAAACTAAAAAGCCTGGAAAATGTCTTGGAGAGATGACATGAAACACGTAGATAATGCTTCAGAAACCCAGAGCCGTGTGGTTTCTGTAGAGTGAAAAGCACTCGCCATCAAAATGGTGAAGGCTTTTTGGGTTTTTTAACAAGACTTTCAGATTTTAAATCATGCATTATTAGTCTGGGCCACTTTTATTTTCGTAAAGTCAAGGCACTGGGTAAAAAGTAATTTTTTAGCCAAAACAGCTGAAGTATTCAACTTTTCAATTTTAACTGCTGAAGTTAAAATCCTGAACTAAACTGTACTGTTAAATGTTGTCCAGGTTGGCTGTTTTATTGAAACTAGTGCATACCATTTTTAAGTTACTGCTTCGGTTACTGTTTTTCATGTATTTTAATAAACGTGATTCATTCTTAAAAGTAAGCAAAATGTTCAAGATATTGATTGAGATGTCTTATAACTGCAATTTAAAATTAATATTTTGAGGTTTTCTACCAAAGACACTTTTAATCACAGGATAGAAGACTCTAAGCAGTGCTGAAGGAAGAGATACACCCTTTCTTAAATATACAATTTGTCTTTGTAATGACTAAAACAGATGCCTGCTCTGCCACAAATCTATTGCTTCAGAGGATGAGTAAATTCAAGCACTGGACTCATCCCTCCTGTGGCTGGGAGCCATTTGTTTTGATGGCCTTACTCAGGGAATATATCATTACTCAGCACGAGTAAAAGTGGCAGATGCAGGTCCTTCATCACTGCCATTTGACTTCAGATTAAATATGCAGCACGTGGCCATTAAACTTGGAGCTGAGTCAATGGGAACTTCAGTAGTTTTCACACAGGAGGCAGAAGAAATTTTACAGGGATACTGTAAAAAAACTGAGATCAACACATTAATATCTATTAAAAGGTTGGACTTGATGATCTTAAAGGTCTTTTCCAACCTAGCTGATTCTATGATCTGTGCTGCAAACCTGGAGCTACCGGGATAGCTGGCTTGATCCTGCCTTGTTCACAGAGGCAGGAACAAGCCTGGTTTTTTTTCCTTTACCTGACTTAAGATCTCATAAACACATGTAACAATATCCTATTTTAATTCTCTTCCAGCAACTGAAGTTTTTTTACTGGTGTGACAGGGTATTCAGTTGAGGAGGGAAACACAGCAATCTAATTAATCTGAAACACATAATGAGCAGAGTCAGAGCTGTAAACACTGGATTGGAGTTGCGTGGAAAGAGACAAGGTCTTGGGGAGGACAGTTTTATTATGTGGCATGGTAGGAATCACTGTGTACAGCTTTGTACCAAGCTAAAAGCAGTCAGAGCTTATGGACGGGGAACTTCGTGTGGTTGACTACTGCACTGAAATTTTGAAATAGAGACAAAAGGAAGTTTGAAAGAAACTTCCCGACAAAAGTTGGCTTGAAACAAGGACCTAAACTCTAGATCCTTGTTATACTGTAGAATCATTTTTTTTTTCCTTTCTCTGCCTTTTTCTGCCCCAAAAAAGGGGCTGGCTCCAAGGCTGCAATAGGAAAAAGTGAGTCACTGTACAGTAGCTGCTTCAGGCAGCTGCCCGAGATGTGAAAGAGCAAGATGTTAGGCAGCAAGTCTCATTATTCAACACTTGCATAAATCATCTAACAAAAGAAATGAAGAGTCACGGCTGGTTCCCGTGAGATCTCAAGCACCTTCTGAATGCAAGAGAGCTTTCAGTAACTTTTGAAATACCTGTCAGACAGGCACCCTGAAGGAGGGTATCTGGTTCAGCATTAGACTCCTGCATTTCCCTGCACAAAACTTGACGTCTCTGGCAAAAATTGAGTGATGTAGCTTGCAGAGTTTAATTAAATCTGATGTAATACAGAATGCAATTAAAATTACTAGAGAGTAGTTCACTCCCTACCAAACTGTGTTGGTTCTGTTTAGTCTTTTTTCGGTTTTTTTGCTAAAGGGTTGATAGTCATAGACTGTCTACTTCCTGGGCTCCAAAATGATGAAATATTTATTCTCTGTGTATCAAGGGCAAGATACAAAAGTCAACAACCCAATACTTATCAAGGATGTTTTTAGAACAAATAGTATGCCACTAGAATTTGTTAAATAAAGCTTCCAGAAAGAACACTTTGAGAGGGGTGAAATTCACACAAGGAAACAGAAAATTGGAATTTGTCCTAACTAGAGATGAGATTACAGGCAAAACATACAGTTCCTATTTCAGTCTTTTTAGAAGGATTGATGAATTTTTTCCCTATTAAAATTAATTGTACCCATGACACTTAAAACCATTCATAAACAATTTGGGAGAGGCAGAGAATGAGTGATATCACAAAACTTTGCTCTGCAAATTAAAGCCCACACTCCTGAACTTACCTAATTCTTATTCCTGTTCCCTCGAAGTCCATTAGGACTACTTCCACATGCAAAGTTTTAGCATCTTACCCACAAGCACGAAAGGAAAAAATCTTATTTTAAGGCATTGTAGAGTGTCTGAGAACAGCCAGACTGTAACGTTACACCAAATGTTTCAAGTTGTTCTCAAAGCAGTAAGGTTTGTCCATAAATGAGCCTTCAGTGCCTAAGTGGGTAAGATCTGCACCTACAGTTGGTTCATCATCCACAAAAATGGAGACAGTACAAACTGCTCATTTCAAGTACTTCTGAATTACAGTCATAGGACTGCGTCCAAAAAGCTAGATATTCATAGTTAAAAAACAAGTTCTGAACTTTTAACTCAACACTAGTAGCCTTTACATGTTAATGTCAATTGTACTATTTGCAACCACAGGAATTTCCTTGAACAGAGAGTCCTGCAGTAAAACTGCTGAGCAGCCCAGCTCCCCTGTGCTGCTGCTGAGTATGCAAGAATCAGGGAAGTAGGATTTTCAGCTCAGTAGAAGCACTTTGATGTCTTAGATGTGATGCACCTTCCAACAGTATCAATGCCATCTTGCATAAAGAACACTCCTGTGATGAAGAGGAACTTAAAGGATAGAAGTAAGGTGATGGATCCTCTCTTAACAGGCACAGTTATCTGTTAGCTACACAGAAATTGCACGTTGCTCATCATAAGATATATGGATGGGGTTTTGGAGGTGTCAGGAAAGAGTAAGTACTCATCACTAATGACACAGAGAAGTGTAGGAAGGATGTTCTGGAGTAGGCCAGGCAAATAAGACCAGGACCTCCGTGGTGATGGCCTATAAAGTTATCAGTTCCAGGAAGGCCTGGGAGACAGGCGGGGATCTGGAACAGACGAGATGATATAGGGAAGAGAAACTAAGGTACACTAGAAGATGGTGAACCTTTTGGGACAAAAGGAACTTATGCCAGTATAGGCTGCAGCATGAATACAGTATAACCAGGCTGCTGGCACTGAAGATGGAAGGGGTTACAGAGGAATATTTAACCACAAAGCCAAAGGAAAGCCACAGGCGTGGAGGAGATACGGCAATGTAGATCATTCACAGCACCAGCTAACTGGCACATGCAACACTTGGCAAGCGAGAAGAGAATTTACAACTGCTTTAGAACTTACACTTGCTTTAGAATGCTAAAAATTATGATGGGACAAAATGCCTGGAATCCAGAGGTAGCCCTCACATTACTGGTTATCTCAGAGACCTAAAAATGACAATGCTTTTGTGCAGTAGGTAGAACAGCACCTCTTACTGCAATCACCGGAGACAGAATATCAAGTTAGATGATAATCATTCACCTGGTCAAGTAGGACATTTCTTCTGTTCTTATGCTCACTGACATGATGCAAATATAGCAGGGACACCAAAATACGTAGCATCCACAGACTCAGGTTGACTGTGGGTACAGTGTGTTACTCTGTGTAAAAACATTACTCATTCTGAACTCTTACCTTAAAACTTTCCCTATCTTTAACTGTCAGTGTTGCTTTAAGGCATTTTCTTAGTTTAACTTTTCTCTTTTCTGTAAAGCCATAGTGATAAAACATTTTTTTAAAAAACTCATGCACTCTGCAAGAACTGGAACAAAATACGTATTAAAGAAAACACTTTTGAGGGCTAGAATGAGGAGCATACTGAAAATTATAACTAAAAAAAAAAGCTTACGTTCATAGCAGTAGGCATCAAACTTGCTATCTGGGTAAGGAAAGCCTGTTTGGTTCTCATAGCGATACAGGGTTCTCACCCCAAGTAAACCTCCACCACACTGGGGCCTTGCCACTGAGGCTGGGTAACGAACACTGCCATCCGCCAGCCAGCCATAGTCACACTGGTCAAAGCCATTCCTCCAGGCCACATACAGGTTCCCAACAGAAGCAAGAACGCCATCTCTTTTCCGACACAGCTCTTTAGCTTCCTCAAAGGTGAGCTTCTCGGGGGCTGAGACATGAACTACTTCATCTAGAGGAAGAAAACAAAGATAACAAAGACTGAGTATCACATTTTACCATAAAGTTTTCTTCTTCGAGTCAATGTCCTGCAAGGTTTTTCCAAAATTTGATTGATTATTTTTCCTAAAAAAAAAACAAAAAACAAAAAAAACAAACTGTTAGAAAATCAAATGTTCAAGATTTGGATATAAAAATCAGTCTAACACAAAGCATGAGCATTTCTATACTAACTTAATGTCATGAAGTGCACTGTGTTTGGAGATTGGATCCCTCTCTCAGTCTCCAGGCAGAGATAACAGCAGCCTTCAAGCCCCTCTGCAACTTCTGTTGGAATAGACTACAACTCAACTGCACTAATTAAATTTAGTCGTCCAAAAGAATTTACTTGCTCAGTAAAACAAACCTTTTACATCTGCAAACCTCTTTTTTACCTGCCCTCTTTAGTCATCACAAGAATGTCACTCGAGACACAGAGCAAAAGCAAGTTTTCCTTACCGGCTGCTTCACAGCAGCTTCAAATGTCATATTTCCATCAGTTCTCATCCTGCCCCATGGAGAAACAAATGTGAGGGAGTGCTCCAGACATGTCATATCCCCTTTTTGTGTGGAAAATCTCTTTTGTGTGACAAAGCTGAACTAGCCTAGAATGTTGGAAGTATAGTTTAGTTTCCATGGAATAATAATTTGTAAATAATAGCCTTCCAGTGGGAAACTGAAACAAAACAAATAGCACATCTAATATTTTACTTCCAAGCTAAATCACCATTATACAATCAGCTTGGTTGCCTTATTCACCCGAACACTATAACAAAATCAAGTCTCTAATGTTCAAGTCCTGGGAATGAAACTGTAAACTGATTTCTTTCTAATTTTTGCTCAGATAGGACTGATGAAACCTAAAATCAACATGTTCAGCTATAGAAAACAGTGTAAATTCAAAATATGTTACAAGAGAATAATTCTCTTCTCCATCTACAGTAGGTCAGAATGCGACAGTTGCTGCTGCAGGAAACCACTGTTTATTTGACATGGGACACGCAGAGCAACTTTTCCATCAACTGATCTGAATCACTGCCTCCAAATGGAGCTTGTGCATAGCTTCATTGAAGTTAAGGGTGTTAATTCCTCAGAGCTGTCATCTGCACTCTGTTAAAGAAACTTAATGAACAGTTATGTCTTACTATAAGACTTCAAAATCCAGGGTTCAATCAGTAATTGTGTAAGAGAGGTTGCTTTGCAGAGAATTACTTATTCAAATTGCAAAGGAGTATTTCTATATGAAAATCTGCGTTAAGTTTGCCTTGGATTGTGCCCCATGTGTAATATAATACTGAACATTTAAAATATGTCTGGCTAATCTTTCTTTGTATTAAATCTACTCTACTGACACAGTATCTATTTGGTTCATTCTTAGAGTCAGCTGCTGTGATACTCATACCATCTTTACCAAAGATGGGGTTTTTTTACCAGAAAAACTAAACGATAAAAACCACATGTGGTTAAGGAAAAGTGCATCCCAACCAGAATAGTCCAATAAGCGAAGTCCAAATTCACATTCTTTGCCACCTATTTAGTATAATAAAGTATTAAAAACTTCATGATGATACATTCACAAAGAAGTTAAAAAGATGCCAGAGCAACCAGCAAAGTGCCCTTACTGTCATTCCATCTTATACCAAGTAAATACTAATATGTTTCAGGAATGGTGGTGATAATATAAAGGCTAAAAAGATATTACTCTTTATAAAAGATATAGATTAAAATATTCTCTATTAAAGAATGTTTTTCTATGATCCCAGAATTCATATTCTAAAAATATCCATTAAAGTGCAAAAATCAGATTCCAAATAGCAGCCATCTGCTCTAGGAGATATGACTCCACAATTCATCTGTCCAGTCTGAAAATATATTAAAATTCTGCATCATTGAGTGTACAGTTAGTATGCATAACAACTGTTGGAATGAAATACAAAAAACAAAACTAGGCACTTTGGGGATAATCATACAATGCAGCTCAGGTTCTGCTGAGCTCTCTCATGGACTCAACCTCAAAACAAACAGAAGCTTTCAAGAGGCCACAGAAAAAGAACTTTTACTCCAATCCTGACTTCCAGCATGTCAATCAATGTAGCTGAAACATCCTGACTCCTTCAAAGTACTTGAAGAGACCCTTGCACAGAAACTTCCTCAAAAAAACTCCAAAATTAAGGGTGAAACTAAGAGAATGTATTTAATCCATGAAGTTTCTAAAAGTACCTGCTACTTTTGGAAGTACAGTGAGCTCCATATTTAGCAGAAGAACTCATCCTATCACACTCTTACAGTGTCTTTATTACGATATTTGAAAGCACTTCAATTTCTCAGCCAAAACACAGGAAACAAGGAAATTAAGAGAGAAAGCGTGTCTGGATGAGAAACAAATGACATCACCACCAACACTGAAGCAGGGCAGATTCAGTTTTGTGTTTCTTAAAAGCCATGTGCAATGTTTTTATAGATGGAGTACACTCCAAATAACTTAGTAATATTATGCCGTCAAACCCCATTGCTTAGACCAGCAGATTAAGAGAAACTAGTCCTGCAGTACCAGTGGGTGAAATGGAGACCATGGCAATTTTTAGACTACAGACAATAACAGTGTATATTATTGTTGACTCCTGTTTAAAACCAGGCTTTGCATTGACCATCCAGCCTCAGTGGTCAGGGCACTTGAAGAATCCCCAGGAAATTCCTCTTATATGTGTTTGTTTTGCTTGGTTAAAACAGACACCTGATGAAAGTCACGCTTTTTTCCTCTCTTTCAAACATATCATCATGCCAGATGAAGAAGCCAGGTTTTTTTCTTGAAGGCAAAAGCTGATTCACTACAACCCCCAAGGAAAATGGTTAAGATCTACAGACTTATCAGCTGGTTTTATAGCAAGCTTCATCCCTTTGACGGTTAACTCAATTATTGTCTCTCATCAGGAGACATCACGCTGAGCTGGGCATGTCTGTAGATGTGAATTTCATGAATCACCCATCTTAAAAGCAAGCACAGAAATAAGGGCAGGCTAGAACCATAGCCGGGGGTCACTACACAAGTATGGACTAGGGTAGAAGTGATGAATCTGCATGTAAGTCCTCCAGCACAGAACCCATCAGTAATTTCTTTTTCCATAAATGAAACCACAATTAAGGTGTTGGTGGACCTCTGCTTCCTAGAGGAGATCTTTAAGCCTGACTATGTGGGACACTCCTCCCAGAGCAGAGCATCATCTCCTCAACTTCACATCACATCACCCATCATGCCAAGCACAACAAAATAAGCTACAAGTCCATGAAAACAGTTTTACAGATGTCTGAAGGATTCTCTTAAACTGCAGAGAAGACATAAACTGTGAGTTTCTTACTGAACGCTTTTAACACATCTCTTAACATACCAATTGTTGTAGATGGTGGCTGGTCAACCACCCATGAAATGTCCTTACCAGTTGCTGTGAGGGAATGACAAATACTAAGGAGATACATTTATTTGGTTGTAATATTTTCGGTCTTTTCACCCATTTAGCTCTCCTAGAGCCACAGGAGCCTTTGTTATTACTGTCCCATCCAGAATCTGGTGCTCACAAGCTTTACCTTGTGCTTGGGTGCTCAGATTCTACACTACCTTCAGCGGCAACAAAAGAAAGATATAAAAATACCCAAAGGGATATTAAATATACAAAAAGATAATTGTTCCCATAGATGGAAATGCTTAAGTGTAACAATTTTAAATAAAAACAGGACAATAAGGTTCCAGTACCTTTCCATCTTAGCTTCTTGGTGGTGTTCTTGTTTGAGGAGAAGAAACATCATCACCCACAAAGAATTTGGCAGCTCTTTTTGAGCATGGGTCTGTGGAAAATGCCAGACCTGTTCATCAACTGTTCTGAGAGGCGGTGGAACCCACCAAGTTTATCAAGCAATGATGCACTTATGGAGATGCTAGAGCTCCAGGATTCCATGACTACAGCTGCAAGTCAGGTATGAAAGGTGGCTAAAAGTGAGAAAATGTCTTTTTTGATGTTATGTGGAACATTCTAAGGACATTTCCTGACCTGCATCTGTAGCCTGGTATTACTGCTCCTCATAAACATCTGGTCATGGCTACATGGTTGGCAGGTCAAAGTTCAAACAGTCATGACACCCTCACATCATTACTTCCCTTAGAAACATTGAACCTATCCAAACTTTAATTCCTAGGACACAATCAAGTGTGCAAAGAAGCCAGAATGCTTCCAAAACTAAAACATTTACTCTTGCACCCTGAGGACCACATGTCCCAAGATTTTCCATTTTCTGCTCCTCTCTTTCTCTCTTTGGTCAAAAGGTCCATGCAAAGAGAGAGCAGCAGCCACCAACAGGACTACTAGACTGTTTGTACACCAAGGAGGGAAGAGATACTACTCTACAAGCATATGCGGGGAGGATCTATCCCTCCACTGAGATGGAGACCACTACCCTTGTCTCTGGAAAAAACACACAGGTACATTTTGGCCAAGACAGACACCTGAAAAGTTTCATCTGTCTTCATCATAGTCAGAGGCCTTGATGGCTTCATACAGTTATCCTGCTTATTAACACAACTCATGCTCCAACCTTTGCCCTTCCCAAACTTCACAAAGTGTCTTGTCCCAGCTGCAGTTCTCTTCCTCCATCCTGCTGTATTCTCTGACACACCAGACTAATAAAAAGGTATCCTTAACAAAGTCACAAAAAATTGCTGTGAAACACTCTTCATGACTGGAAAACAACAAAGACCTAAGCAGCTAGGTTCAACTTTAAAACAGAAGGCTAGACAAGCTGAAGAAGTCTTTTTTTTACACGTTAAAACAAGTTAGTTGGTTCCTTTTGATACACATCAGTAATGATGTAATTAAACTCTCGCGAATGTCTTAGGTCTATTCTATGCAAAACCATAGGCTGAACAAGAATCTATTGCATTTGACAAGACTTTTCCCACAGGCTTTTTCTCAAGCATGAAGAATAACGTGGCAACTGCTGTAACCTTAAGAGAGCTCTGCTGTAGTCTCAAAGTGTCGCTGGCTTTTACTTATACAAAGGGTGAAATTAACTTCACATTCTATATAATTCTTCCTTTTTTGTGCTTTACTCTTACAAAACTCATTTAGATGTCAGGATTTTCACAGCTTCCCAAAGATGAGCTTTATTACGTTATGATCTCAAATACTATGTCAAGCTTGAAAACCACCATGGTGTTATTTCATTTTTTATTTACTCTATCTGGGCTCTGTACCCCTCTTGAGAACTCTTGGATCCATGACTCTGCATTAGGTTACACAATTCAAGGCTAAAGAACTAACCAGTACAAACAAATGCAAAGGCTGTGACTCTACCACAGGCCCTGAACTAGGAATTAAAGAAAAGATGCTTTTTTCTGTCTCTCTTTTAAAATCTAACTATTGCTCTAGGATCAGAATGGGCTCCAGATTAGATCTCTACCTGCCCACAACACAGAATAAACTTCTCACCTGAAGTCATATTTTAGATTATTAATTCCTTAATGGTTATTCTCACAGAAATTTCCATGACAATAGCAAAGCTGCATGAGACTAGGTGGAAAGTATTTAAAGGACATCTGGTTTTGGTTTTTTCTTTTTCTTCTCTGCACTCACTGGGGGTGGAAATGGTGCATGGAAGGGAGACTATAATTTTCCCCACAGCCACCCCAAAATAACTTTCTTAGCATGAGTCCCCATCTGCATATTACATATGCTTGTTAGACATATATGGCTTCTAACTGGGTTTGGCCAGAAGACAATGCTGCATAGAGCAGTTTGTGCTTTGGCTTTACACCACACACTCACAGCTCGTCACTTCATCAGTGGGCTTTGGCGAGGGGATCTCACTTTGTCTCTTTCTCTGACACCACAGCACTATCAAATCAATCACATACAGCTGATCTGAAGACAGACTGGAAACCCCTCCATCCCCATCACCCATTTCCATTCAAGGGATTAGATTATTCCATAGACAACATTGGTGCAGACACTGCATCAGCTGGAGGTGTTCAGAGAATCTGAGAGTCATATTCAAACTTTTGCAGCTCAATCACTTTACATTAAACTCTTTATTAGTAAATCATTTCCTGCAGCTAAAGGTATCCTAGATGTTTTTGTTAATGCTTGGTACACTGAAATATGTGATGAAATATGAGGAATGTAAATCAGTTTGTAATAAGAGACCATGCCCAATACCTATTTAATGGTATTTCAAATCCAGAATCTTATTTTTATCACTAAGAGCTCAAAATTTTTAAATCACTCTCATAATTATTCTTCTGTGTTTTAGCATAACTCAGAATATTTTACTTATAATGGTAAGAGCTAGCCTAGACAACTGGTTTTAATTTAAGCTAATAGTTTGTGTTTCAAGGAGAAATCTATGTCTCTGGCTAACTTTGTGATTTCATATGGCCAGAAAGGAAGAAAACTGAAATGGTGTTGCTCCTACAAATCCTCAGTGCAAGTACTCAAATTAGTACTGTAAATTCAACAAACATTCCTTTAAAAATGTATTGCAAGAATTCCTACCACCATTTATGGCCTTCTGGGGTAACACACTAATAGTGGCCAACAGGCCAATAACTGTTCAAAGGTTTCCATGGTGATATTCTCATTATGGCCCAGATTTTGATATCATCAATCAAGCACCATCTTATTCCATGAATAGTCATCCCACCAACACAGGCTCTCCAAATAAGGACCTGTTTAGTGCAAGTCAGTCTAATAGATTTGGCATTGAATCACAATAGGTTATGCAGATATGAACTTTCAAATTCGCATGGAAAATCTCATGCTTAAGCACATTTCTACAGTGTATTATGTACCATGAATGTCATTTGTTGTTAAGGTAGTGTTGAGAGCTCTCATTACAAGAGAAACGTACCTTGCAGAATCAGCCTTTGGTGGACAGGGCAATCAGAAATTTAGCATAGCCTTAAATCTTGAACTGCAAGTCTTCTACCAATATATGAATGTGGAGCAAGCAGAACGCAGGATCTGGTTTACTGTTATGTTTGCTTTCCAATAACTTCCACTGACATTTTATCTAATTTTGTGTCTTCTGTGGACGAGTGGTTTCCAAAGTATAATCTCTTTGATGCTATGTAACTTTAAACAAGCTCTGTATTTGAAGCTAACATTTGTTCTTACAGAAACTGCTTCTGTTATATAGACAAAGCCATCTTGGCTTCTTAGACCCATCTTAAAAGGGAAATCTGGGTCAGAGGCTCAGGTTTCTGTG